TCTTTCCCTCGTGACTTCTCTCGCGTGCTCGAGAACCTCTGTCTCTTTCTCTCTCATTCTTTTTCTTTCTCTTTCTCTCATTCTGCCGATCGAATCGATATACGTGCACGAATGCGGCTTCGAGCTTCGTCCACTTCTTCTTTCACGTGACTACCGCAGGAAAGAGGGCCGACCGAATCAATATCTCACACAGACATTTCGACCTCGTCCTCGTCGTTGTCGCTGCGAACTCCTCGTACCCTTCGAAGGTCGTTCTCATTGTCTGACAATGACTCGAAATCCGACGGTGCAAAACAAATCTCTGAATCCCTAATTAATCTGTCTTTTTACCGTACTCTTCGACCAACGCATGTAAAACATTCGCGTATCTATCGCATATATGTGAGAGCACGTGCACCGAATGTGAGCGCGCAGGAAACACGCATGCATGTTCAATTGTAGCGTGTTCAATGTATGAATTGACATTTTGCACGTATTAAGTTACGTGGAACCTTAATAAGAATTTCGCATAAGTACTTGACACTTTAACTAATTCCGAGTATCGTTAAAAATTATAGCAAGCGCGAAACTTTGCAATTTGAATTAGAATATTGACGATTCGTAAAAGATAGCATATTATCGTACTAAACAATCTTGAAATGTTTTTCTATTCTATTTCTGTTATTTGATGAATATTTAATGACTTCTTGTTTTACAACTTTTAAAGTCTAATAACCCAAAATGAGAATTATACACACATAAAAACTCTAATAGAAAACTAAATCTATCAAAATTAATTAAAATAAGATGTTATAAATATTATTATGATTTACACGTTTAGTGTTGAATCTTTCAAAACACTTTAAAAATTTCAATATTGAACATATTGGAAAATTAATTAAGAATTCAGTAAATTTATTAACCATTATTTAATTCTTCCTAATATATATATTTATATTATAATATACATACACACATAGCATTTTCATAAAGCGCAAAATAAAAATTAAAAAGAAAATAGATCTCGTTTCAATTTGAAAATAGCCACATGTCGGATATTAACCAGAGATGTGGTTTTCGTATTGCGAGCTTTTACTCGGTTGGACGGTTCATTTATAACATTACCATTATAATACACCGGTTGGATACGTGATTGCGGTCGATTGGACAAATTCGTCGACGATATACCGAGCGAGAACAACGATTCGATCGACAGAGGATGAGCGCATACACGTGAGAACGAGAGAGAAAGTTACATAAATAGAGGCACACAACGCCGGAGATGAGAGAGAAAAGAGAAGAGGACAAAGAGTGGTGAGGTAGAAAAAATGATTTTTAACATTTCCGATAGATTGCACCTGATTACCCGGATCGTACGAGCGGGCACATGCAATTCTGCACGTGGATAGCTGTGTGCGTGTATGCATGAGTACGCTCGTTCATTCGATAGGGCTCCCTTTGTGCGCGAGACCGAGAGTAAAGTAAAAAAAAGGAGTGAAATTAACGGAATGAAACAATGGAAACGACCGGGCTTAAGGGTTGCTGCCAGCTGTGTAATGGAATTAGGTCCGATTAAATTAGCTAAAAGGATTTTAGGTA